CTCTTCCCGCGGTCCCCTTCGCCCGGAGGTCTCTTCCCGCGGTCCCCTTCGCCCGGAGGTCCCTTCCCGCGGTCCCCTTCGCCCGGAGGTCCCTTCCCGCGGTCCCCTTCGCCCGGAGGTCCCTTCCCGCGGTCCCCTTCGCCCGGGGGTCCCTCCGCGGTCCCCTTCGCCCGGGGGTCCCTCCGCGGTCCCCTTCGCCTGGGGGTCCCTCTACGGTCCCCTTTGCCCGGGGGTCCCTTCCCGCGGTCCCCGCCGCCCGTGCCCGGGCGGTCGCGCCGCAGCGGCGCCGTCTGGCCGCGCTGGTCCTGCCCGGGGGCGAGCGGAGCCCGGCGGGGCCGGGGCTGGGAGTGAGCCGGCGGGAAGCTCTGGGAACCACCCCCCCCGAGGGAGCGGGACGGCGTTCCTTGTGGGAAGGGGTACGGGGGTTTGCTGCGCCCCCGGCACCCCCGCACTTTCCCATCGGCAGCGCTGTACGGACATGCGAACACCTTTATAATATTTACTAGGAGTAGCGCTGAGTTCCCCCCCTCCGTCAGTCCAGGCTGTGCTCCATCCTCACGGCTGCGGTTCCAATTTTTTTGATGTTGAAAGAAAGGTTGGGGGGGACGGGGGGAGCCTTGCCGGCTCGCTCTTCCCCAAATCCGCCCGGCTGGGGATGCTTTCCCGTCGCTACAGCAACACCTACCGACGGGCGCACGGAGGGACCGACGGGAGGACAGACGGAGCGGGGCACCCCTCAACCCCCCCCTCAGGTCGCCTCCCGAAATAAAACATCGCGGCTTTTACAGCCCACCTGAGAAAAAGGGGGAAAATAGGAATAACCCCCCAAACTACTAAGTTTTCTTAGATTTTTGTAATTTTTTTTTTTTTTTTGCTTGCCTCCCCCTCCCCCCCGGCATACTCCAAAGTGTCTGTCACCTCCGAGTTACATAATGTCGCTGTAGGAAGAGGCTGACACATAGGGACAGCCCTTTCCTAAAGCAGTTCAGCCTTACTAACGCCTGGAATGCCTGAGTGGGATGGATGGAGAGAATAACCCTCACAACCATTTACAAACCTCGGAGTCACAGAATCAGAGAATCGTTAAGGTTGGAAAAGCCCTCTTAAGACCGAGTTCAACCCTTAACCCAGCACTGCCAGTCTTGTCGTTTGTTACTAGGAATTCATCATCAATTAGTACTTTATTTTCTTATTTTATTTTTCCATGAAAATTATTTTAGTTTTCCTCTGCTGAGCAGTTTGCAGATAAAGCCCATCAAGGGGTGAGGGGGCTGGGTTTATTTTCAGGAGGGTGAGTTTGTTCTCCGCATGGAGAGACTCTGCAGCTCCCGGCAAAGCCTTTAATAATTCAGCGCAGGAAATGCGTGCGTATATATAGCAGGGAAGGTAACGCACAGCGTGTACCTACAGGAGGACAAATATGGAAACCTGGTGTGAATTATTCATGAGGTGTGATCAAATAGAGGATTTTCCTAGACAAAGCACACTATGCTGTTTTCGTGTTTATTACAGCACAATCAGCGCCGAGTGCATCCCAACCTCCTTTCATTCGGGCCATGTCAGATAACCTTTAATGTGTTTGCTAATGTTTCTTATTTACCTTTCAAGCTGTCAGCAAGAAATAAGGGCTTGGTAGAAAAATCTGACAAGCCTTTTTCTTTTTTTTTTTCTTTGTGGCCGTCTAAAAATTAGGAGATGGAGTAAAGACTTCTGATGCTGTTCTCAGGGAAGGCACTTTGCTTGTTCAGTCTCTGACAGGAGAATAAACTCGTGGTGCTCTGGACTGATTCATGCTCCTGCTCCATGGCACGGGGTACTTTGGGTTGTGCTGTTGCATAGTAGGCAGAGGCTATTTTTAACCAGAGCAAGGTTATGAAACCTTAGACCCAGCTGAGTGAAAATAATCTGGTCTGAACTGGAAAGCACAGCTTTGCGTGGCTGGGGACACGCGTGGGACTGTCCCCTGGAGGGTCCCAATGGGATGATCCCACTTGCCTTGGCTCTGTCAGCCCCAAAATTGGGAAGTGCTGTCATCGCGGAGGCTGTCACAGAGGCACTGGGGAAACCACTTAAGTAAATATGCAAAGAATTAAAATAGTTAAATGGGCGAGCAGTGAATCAGTGTTGATAGTGTGGTGATTATTAAATAACCCCAGAAGTGTTACTGGAATCACCACTGCTGTTAGACATCAAATTTCTGGGATAGCTAAAGGGGAAGCTCAGCTCCACACCAGTTTTTGGTGATTCTCACACCGAGGTCGCTTTACCCGCAATAAACGGCTGAGTGCAAATAAACACCAACCCCAAAAATTTCCCTCAGCTCTGCCCCACGAGTCGCCTTCGGAGCTGTACCTGGCTAAAATATGCGGTGGTGTTTTTTAAACTAATATTTACTCCTGCTAGACCTGCACAGCCACTGCAGCTCTGGGGGAGGGAGCGGGAGCCGCTCTGACTCATGGCTCAGCAGAGTTGTTAACTCACTCCCGGCGCCCGAGCCCTCGTCCCGGTGTGCCGAGAAGAGTCCACCTTGGTGTACTGGGATGAGTCCACTTTGTCTCCTGGGCTACAGGCTGTGCTTTAAAGTCAGCAAGCCAGTTCAAAAAGTCACTGGAAAATAAATATTTTCAGTGCACTGCACTGAGGTTTGTGGGGTAGCAGGGATTGTTGCTTGGCAAAAGAAACTTTGCTTTCAATAACTCATGCAAATATTTGGGATCCTTCCATTCTTTAGGATGCTTCACCAACAGAACCCTCAAAATTTAAAATACCCTTGCTCATAGGCGTTATCCTGCAATGCCATGGGAATTGTGGCACAACCAAAGGCAGCTGCTGGACTCGCTGTGAGGAGTTTCCTTTGCTTTGCTTGCACTGCTGTAATCGCCTGTCGCTTCAAAGCACATCTGCAGCCCCAAAATGTAACACCGAAACATCTTCTCCTCATAATTCTGCCCAAAGCCACGATGCCTCTTTGTGCAGTCTCTCGGAGACTGGACACTGGTAGGAGTTTTAGTTGCCTTCCTCTGCGCTTGGCTAAGCAAATGCCAAACCTTCTTAAATCTAAATTACTCGAAATATTTACTGTTGAGACGTCGTCCAAGAGGAGGATAGTTAAAACATTAATTCCTCGCATTCCAGTGTATTAGAGCTTTACCCTGCGACTTGCTGAGCGCCAGAAATGGGACTTTGCAGATTCGATTCCCTTCCCCCCAAACTGGATAGCCCCCCCCCAATTCCCCCACCCAAACTTTAATGCTTTAAAAAAAAAAAAAGGAGGGAGAGAGAAAGAAAGGAATGCACATCTGGGCTAAATATTTGTTAGAAAGTATTCCCAGGATAGTGGGAGTTCTGGTGCCAGAGAGGAATTCCTGCGGGTTTGATCCATTGCATTATGTACTTGTTCCAAAAGCTGTTTTCAGTAAAATAGATGAGTAAGAAGTCTTAGCCAAGAACAGAATGTCTTTTTTGGCAACTAAAAGGAAGATAGGATTATTTTATTTCAGGTTATGTAAAAAAAAAAAAAAAAAAGAAGGAGAAGGTGGTAAAATCCTGCACTCGGCAGTGCCTGCAGAGATTTGCAATGGCAAGCTTAGATATAGATATTTATTTTTTCCATGCTACTGTGGACATTTTTGGGGCTTCCTTGTAAGACATCGCTGTGAATTTAAGGTTCCTTGCAAAATTACTGCAATTAAAATATCCTCGTTGTGTCTGAATGAGCCTCTGGGCTTTTTTGGCTGAGTGGCCAAAAGCTTTGGTGACATGGGTTTAAAGGCAGCATCCAAATTGCTGGTGGGAAGTCTGGTCCCAAGTGCTGGGGTGAGGAGGGGAGGAGAAGATTGTCCTGCCTTTGACAGGAATACCCCCATCTAGAGGATATTTTGGGGGTGGATAGAAGTGGGCACCAATGGCTGCAGCCCAACTACATCACTCCTGAGAAGGATTTGAAAACATCACCTGGAAAACATCACAGCCATAAATCAGCAATAAGGGGGAAGGCATTAGAGAGGAAAATTAATGTATTTGGCTGGTGGGCAACAGGTTCACCAGCTCTTTCCCATTAATTGAGAATCCTGTTTGCACGACACCTACTTTGCAGTAACAAAACAATAGGTGTTTTGAAGAAGACAGCCTGCCAGAAGTGTTTGGGTTTTTTTTCCTATGCATTTGGCTCATTCTCGTAGATGGGAGCTGCACACACCTCCCTTCATCCTTCTGGCTGATGACAGTATTTAAAAAATAAATAAATGGAATTGCACCATCTTCTGCACAGCTTGCCTTGGCTCTGGCTTGGTGTTTGTGTTAGCTCAGTTCTCTGTCTTGAGAAGGGCGCTTCGGTTTTCCCTGTGATGTGATCTGGGGGGATGTGATGCGGCTCCTGAGGGGCTGGTGGGTTTGCAGGTGACTTGAGTGTCAGGGTTGCATCTTTGGTCCGGACCTGGGAGTTATCCCTGTCTCAGCAGAGTGATCTTGGCTGCTCCACCACCCTCTGGTGTCTCCCACGAGGCTTGGATGTGATCAACATTGTGTCTCAGAGGCTGTTTGCTGTTGGATGTGTCCCCTAGGGGCTTTCTGAGGAGCTGATTTTTCCCTCCCTTGGCTACAGTGGCTTCCCTCACTGGCAGTGTTAGAGTTGTCCTTTGGAGCAGCGAGTGACCACTCTGTAGCACAAACTGATGCTTTTTCAAGCTAGCTGTGGGGTTTTTTTTGCAAAGTTTTTGGCCGTTCCAGGTGGACAATGGGGTCTGTAAACCTCTGGCTGCAGCCCAGGCTTTGATTCGGACCCCTGCCTTGGATTTGGAGGGTTTGTGTGCTCCTGGTTGTTTTCCTAAAGCAAATGTGAGACAGTGCAGAAGGCGTATATATAAAAATAATAAAACTATAATATTTTGTAAATGCAGCCAGGTTGTTGGTTTGGGTATCGTGGCTGCCTGTGAGCTCAGCTTTGCTGTGGAGCAGGCAGAAAAGGGGTTAATCCAGGTGTTGGGTAGGACATGTGCTGCTGGGGCTGGAGGGTGGCCAAATCCACCTTCTCTGCATCTATTTTGGATTAAGGCCAAAAACCCAACAACCGCTCTGTGGCAAAACCACCTGCAGCTCCAGGTCTGCAGGAGGAGGAGGAGGGATGGAGGGATCACCTCTCCCCATCCCCCAGGTTCGGGGACGTGGGGGATGTACTGGCCCCATAAACATGTGCTGCAGCAAATGATTAACTTCTTCAGGCCAGGGAACTGCTTCATCTGGAGACTTTTCTGACCTTTTAGGGGACTGTTGTCTCCTGGGAAGCTGATGGTAAACATAATTAGCGAGGGTTGGTGCACGGCTTGGAAGGTACTGCATGTGCTCCCATCCTGCAATGTGATACTGCACAGCGCTGTCAGGATATTGAAAATCCCATCATGGGGAGATTCTTGAAGCTGGTGTGGGGTCTGTGCTGCCTGCTTAGGGCTGTCAGAAGGGCAGATTTAGTCTTCTTTTTTCTGTTTCAGGGACTTAAATTAACTTCAGACATGCAAAAGAGGGGGAGAAAGTGTTAAGGTTGCAAAGGATTAATTTGGCCTGTGGAGGAGTTTCAGGTGGTGGGAGGGGATGGGGGCTCGGTGTCTGGCACCCCTGTATCTGCGCTGTCACCATCCTGGGGCTGTTTACTCTCTGTGTTGTCCAAATTTTAGGCATGCTTTAGCTTCTGTGTATTATGGGGTGGCTAGTAGCATCCCACGTTGCTGGGGCTCTCCCCTCCTTGCTGGAAGGAGTTTCTGGGCTGGGACTGCATCTCT